CAGTTTGTGTTGCTTTATAATTGGATGAACTGGAGCGAGCCAACATACAATGACGAGTTATACCCACTTTGGGGACGTGTCATTGGCTGGGTAATCATTGGACTCACACTCATTTTTATTCCTTTGGTTATGATTTACGAATTTCTGAGAGCAAGTGGAAGCGTTGCTGACGTAAGTAAAATATTAAAATCCACACGCATCTATAGGCCTTATGGTCATGCGTGATACAAACACACTTCCATGCAGCAACCTTATGTTGCTATAGGATTATTTGCATAAACTTTCTGTAATACATTGATATTAGGTAGATTTCGATTTGCGACCATAGTAATTTGGTAATATAATAATATAAGAGACAGTGAGAGATGAGTAATCCGTTCCAGGGTCACGGCTACTGTACTAGATACTTGATGCGAAAAACAATTTTTATTATCCATGTTTAATCTGTTATGGTATTGATTGCTAAATTCAAATGATTTGACAAGTCCACCAAAGACTGGGACGCACTACCTCAAAGTATTAAATGTAAACCGTCAATATATTCATTTAAGGTTACTGTAGAAATACATCTTGCCAATGAAACAATCAATAAGTAATTGATTATCAGCAGTTGTTTTAGTTCATATACTGTCCATGTTTTTTGCAATGAAATATTTTCTGTATCGCTTTATGTTATCAAATATGTTTTGTTCTGGGACCCCATTGGAAATAAGTTTTTTTAAAGACTTTCATGGGCTATCATGGCATCTGTCGTTTTTAATGTTTTAACTGTTTCTACCACATTTTGTATATATATATATATATATATTGTAATTGGTTTTTTTTATGTGATGCCGAATAAATTTGAATTGAATTGATTTGTAGATCTAATATTCTTGCACTTATTTTTTTTTCTTTAGCGTTGGAGGGCAATGAGCAGGCCCAGAGCTGATTGGGGACCACAGATGGAGGCAAACCGAGCACAGGCCTGGCAGATGCACGAATACTACAACACTACGATGGGAGGCAAACGAGAGGCTCCCGATACCTCTCGCAACTAAAACCACATGTCATTTTAGACTACCCATTATTTTTGCAGTTTATTAAAACGTACAATTTATAATGTAACTAGGCTGGTATACTTGCATTGTATTCAGTTTTTGCATTCCGTTTGATAAAAATGGTTGGTTTCCGGTCAGGTTACTCAGTGTTATCAATCTACAGTGTATGATTACGACTTTTATTACTTAAGAATGGGCTATTTCCTCAAATAGCCTACAATTATTTAATGATTTCCCACCTATACTTATTGACCGAAATTTGAGAGGATATCAGTCTGTTTTTTTTTTTCTTTTTTGCAATTGGTCATTCTTTACCTCATATTATTATTCTATTATTAGTGGAACTCTAAATTATATTAGAAATTAGAAAATACACCCAAATAATGAAACTCTAAATTATATTAGAAATTAGAACGTACACTCAAATCCTTTATAAACTGAGAGTCAGAAACAGGCGAAAAATTTTCCTCAACTACACAGTTGACTAACCTGAAGTTTACTACTAAAGGCTTGAATGTTACAAATATAGTTAATTAATACTGTAGATAGGCACCGGTGAGATAGGCCCACATGTTATGTGTAGTCAATTTATTGTAAATCGGTAAGCTTTGTATATGGTTGTTTGTTAGTTCGACTGACAAACTACCATATACAAAGCTTACCGGCATTTGAGCAAATCGTACATATTACAAAACCATTTTTATTAACCCTCTTATTTAAAACTTCAAGTTGTTATATATTTTCAACATTTTTTCACTTGTAAATAATGTTTAGTATGTAATTAACACATTGCTAGTTTTGCCAATTATGTTTGGTGTCGAATACACTTGTTTCTGCGCATATGACCCTCGTAATACGGTATAAATGCATAACCTTTAACCTTTGTATCGTTTTTCGTTATAGTATTTGTTAAAAGCATGCAGTCCTTTAAACTATAATCATAAATTAATATGACAGAAGTTGTTTATATATTTTTAAACATTTTAAAACTCAGTAGTTCATATATTTTAAACATTTTCTCACTTGTAAATAATGTTTAGTATATAATTAATACATTCCCAGTTTGGTGTGGAATACACTTGTTTGGTCTCGCAAACAAATAATACCCTATTTTGAATGGACCGCTCAGGTAGTCTATAGACTATCGGAGCGGTCAATCTTAAGTTAACGTGGTAGGTTTCAGGAGGACATTAGTTTCCTTAGCGATCCTGAGGCAACTTGACAAATGAAACGCAACTGCAAAACTTTTATCAGGCCAAAAAAAAAAATTGTTGTGTTGCCATTAATTGAGATCATCGGTCGGTCGGGTTTTTTTTTTGAGTGATAACTGATATAGGGTGTGCCTCAAACTGCAGTCCCCATTATGCAGACCTTAGGCCTAAGGGCTCGTAGCCCGGCTCGTAGCTCGTAGGCACCACAATAACGATGGCAAGCTTGCCAAACAAAAAAATATTCAGAGTAATTATGGATTATACTAACCTATTGTATATTGAAATAAATTTTAACAAAAATAAATCATTACTATCAACACTGCAGTACCTGCTGCTTACTTAGACTCGAATTCAAACCTGGCCATCAGGCGCAAGCTCGGTGGTCTAGAGGTATGATGCCAGGCTAGTGATCTGGAGATTGTGGGTTCGAGTCCCACCCGAGAACAACTTGCGATTTTTTCGCAATTGTTTTCAAACGTACTGAGTATTCAGTACGGTACATGTCCACGTCAGTTAAGGCAAAATCACACCTATACATGCTTCTCCTGACGCAAATCCAGTTATTGTCTATCCCATAACGACAATAACAATTACTATCAACACTGCAGTACCCGCTGCTTACGTACTTGGACTCAAATTCAACTCTGGCCATCAGGCGCAAGCTCGATGGTCTAGAGGTAATGACGCCATGCTAGTGATTTGGAGATCGTGGGTTCGGGTCCCACCCGAGAACAACTTGCGATTTTTTCGCAATTGTACGTACTGAGTATTCAGTACATTTCCACGTCAGGTAGGGCAAAATTACACATATACTTTCTTTCTTTCCCTATTCAGGGAATTTATTCAAGTACCGTACATGGGCCGTTGACCCTAATACTAAACATAATTTATTGCAACATAATACATTTGTTTCTTTTTTCAAACGCAAAGTAGACGTATTTTGCTAAAATATTAATATATTTTGTATTCGAAAATAATAGACAGAGCTTGTGAATAGACGGATATAAGTAAAACATTTTTTAATATATTTGCTCCTTAAATCAGCATAATATGGGAATTGTAAAATAAAGTGAAATTCATCTTCAATAATATTGTTATTACATATCTTGCAGATTCTTTTGTCACCTCCCCTTTTCAATCTCAAGTTCCAGTATGCCTAACCTTAACTTTGTCAATAACCGTCTGTGTTTTAAATTACTAACATTCGTATAATGATAGCTTAAGCTTATTTCTTTTTTATACAGAGTGAATAACCTTAGTCTAGAATATAAACTAAATTTCTCAATACACTTTTGTTTTTCAATATCACAAAGACGCAACTTAAATTCATTCAGAAAAGAGGTTTTGTCGTATACAAACTGTTGAAACCAAATGTAACCAAATCCATTAGAACAAAGTAATTGTTTAACCTGTAGTGCCCAACAGTTCTCGTTTCTACTAACTTTTCTCAACTGAAACTCATAGCATTTAAATACAAATCTATCATGATTTAATGAAATAATGTGTAACCAAAATCTAATAACGGTCATTAAACAATTTATTTTAAGCGGTAGTCTCCCCATTTCCGAGATAACAGCGACATTTGGTGCATTATTTCCAACTTCTGATAAATATTTACAAAAATTTTATATGGGTTTTTTTCAATATTGGAATTATCGAACAATCCCCAAATTTCGCTTCCGTAAATTAAAATGGGGAGGATTTTGGCGTCAAAAAGAAAGTTCCATGTACTGATTGGTATGAATGTTAAGTTACGGTGAATAAATGATTTTAAACAAAATAAACCTTGATTTGCTTTTTGACAGTTGTGTTCAATAGCAGTGTTCCATGATCCATTTGAATTAAAGATAACACCTATATAATTGTATGAGGTTTTGAATTTGTAATTGATGATTCTTGTAATACCATTTTTCAATTTTTCTGAGTCTTCCTCCTTTTTTTAATACAACAGTAATTTTACTAGCCACACCATTAGGTAAAGTAAAACAAGTTCTCGTAATCTCGAAAGCTCGGATGAGGGCAGTTATATAATAGAGGCAGTAGCGTATTTTGGCCCTAACGGCCACCCATACAAAAAAGATTATTAATCAATCAGCCGAGTTTTCCAGAACTCATCGGAACTAAAAGTATGTTTAGCCTCACCACCCCACCTGAATTTTCCAGAAAAAAATTGAGGCGGGATTTTTTTTTTTTTAAATTTAAAAACCAAGAATATTGTCCAGGAAACTTGTTAAGATGATTATTAAACATATGCAATGGTGGCTCTAATATCTTTATTTTCCCCCTACAACACATAGGCCTAGGCCTAATTTAT